GACTTGGCATGAGAGCTTCAAGCTCTTCCAATGCGTCAGTAGCTACCTTAACGTCCTCTGGATCCAACATTTTCCTGACACAGGGGTTATCTGGCATGCAGAGAACTGGAAATAGGTCTTTTATCTTTTCCTTCTCAGATTTGGGTTTAACGTGAGCTTCTTTACTTGTGGACTGCTTGGCTGGAGGTCTCATAGTCTGGATCAAACGCAGGAGATTGCCAACCAGGGAATCGGTGAACTCTGCTCCATTTTTCTCTAGAGCGGATTTAAAGGCCTCGAAGGTGGTGGCCTTCTCTGCGATGTCGATCACAAACTCGGCCAGGTCTTTGTCATTGATGCCCAGATGGTTATCCAGCTCGGTGCACACTTTAGAGACCAGAGAGAGGTATTCTAACTTCTTTAACTCTTCCAATGTAGCGTCCGCCATGCTCACTGCACCCAGCGCTGTGACATGCAGGCTCCGGGGGGTCAGCAGACAGCCGGTAACACGCGCTAAATCCGATCGTACTCTGCTCTGATCCGAGGCCTGGGCCAACACCACGGAAGGAACACACGACAAAGCGGAAATGTACGTATGGTGAAGCTGGTTGTTAATAAAGATTGTTGAAAAGAAAGGGGAAAAAGAAAAAAAAAAGGGGGGGCGGCCCTACGTCCGTGCGTCTATAAATAGAGCGCGCACAGCCTGCACGCTCTCTCTTCCAGTTCGGTTAGGAGACGAGATGGTGAGTGGGGGTGAAGTGAATGGCGCATATGGGGCCTAGTTGTAATCCGACTGGTATCCTCGCCATCCGCCATCGGTTCTCATTAGGGCTTGCTGTGCTGACTTTGTGAGTGTGTGGCTTTCCGATGGCGGTGTTCGTTCTGGTTGGGGGAGTGATCGGGAGGGAAGTTTAGCGGATGCTATGTGCGGCCTATCTGAGGCCTACGGGCGGCCTGTCATGGTGTCAGCCTCACCTCGTTAATGTCGTTCGGGTGTGGGTTTTACAGGTTTATAATAAACACCTCCATATATGTGAGAAGGTGGCCTCGTGTGAGTAGGCAATGTCTCTAACATGGTGCGGTAATGGCCAATGTCTCTAACATGGTGCGGTGACGGCCAGTGTCTCTAACATGGTGCGGTGACGGCCAGTGTCTCTAACATGGTGCGGTGACGGCCAGTGTCTCTAACATGGTGCGGTAGACTTTAACCCTGAGGCACTCTGATAGATCGGCATACAAAGTCTGTACAGCCTGCTTAGCTGACTGTATTTATTCTTATTACAATTGTGCATTTTAATCTAGACAGGGCTGTGTTGGACATGTGGCATAACCTGTGCTATGACTGGCGTGGGTAGATTAGATTTACACGTCTTGTCTTTCACTGTATGTTGGTGTGGAGTCTTGTATGTCAGAAGCTTCTGACTAATAAGTTAATGTGTGTGTATAAATATAAAATTCTTAAATTGTATTCCCTCTTATGCCATTTTTTTTAAACCTCAGTTTATGTAGGCTTTCACCTGCACAAATTAAGTGTAAAGTCTTATGGGTTACAATAGATATGCCTCTAAAAAAAAGTAATTGTATTAAAGCTATGTGCGTAGTTTGTCCATAACCACCTCTCTAGTTTTCAACATATTTGCTGTCTTACTGTTGACTGCTAGAGTGTTTGTATTAACTTGTATATGCTTTCTTAACAGTCTCACCGAAAGTTCTCAGCCCCCAGGCATGGATCCCTGGGCTTCTTGCCCCGCAAGCGCAGCAGGAGACATCGTGGTAAGGTGAAGAGCTTCCCCAAGGATGACCCTAGCAAGCCAATTCACCTGACTGCCTTCTTGGGATACAAGGCTGGCATGACCCACATTGTCAGAGAAGTTGACAGACCTGGCTCCAGTAAGTATATTTAAGAAACATATGAATATCTACACCTGGCCATTCTATGCACAATTTAGCTCTCTAAATGAGTGTCCGTTTTACACATTTATTGTAAAAAGCTGCACATGATGATACTTTCTCGACGGGCGGACTGAAGTATAGCCTTTGGCAGCCAATGATGAATGTCGAGTACTGATGGTAGCTCTTTCATCAAAACACTTGAAGATTGCCATAGTAAGACATTAGCTTATCCATGGGCTGCAAGTGCATACAAATGCAAAATGTTAGTCTTTGTACAAAACTAATCCCCTTGCATGTCTCGGCAATATTAGCTGTGCATTCTTTTGTCCTAAATATATGGTGCTAATAACTTTGAATTGATTTGTTATGAATGTCATACTGTTCAAAGGTCCTCCCATAAAATGTAGATAATCCTGGTTCATATAAATGTAGCAAACCTAACTGCACACTTTGAATTTGTTTTGTACAATTCCTAGTCCCTACCTAAAGTTTATGTACCCATTTTACAGAATTTTAGAAAGTCCAAGATTCACAACTGCTTCAATATGGTTTGACTACTTAAATCACATGCCTGCGTCTGGTTTTGCCCTGCTGGAGAAGTCCAGTGTAGATGAATCTAGAATAAAGCATTGTTAATCTTGGGCTGCATTAACTGGTTGAGAAAGCTCACAAGGAGCATGTCCTCCTAACCTCTGGTCAGCTAACATTCTCCTGCATGGAAAGAAGGGCTCAAGCTTTAGGCGCCTTGAGGGACACAAATAATTCCTGAACAGTTTGACTTTTTACCATGGGGTAGGTCAGGATAGTCCTTGCTCTATAATCAATATGTGGTTTTGGTGCAATTTTCAACAAAGCAGCATTTGCGCTGCGTAACTGTTTATTAGAGCCATGCATTGGTGGAGCAGGAAGTGGATACATGTATGTATTGCTTACTAAAAGCTGATGGCTTTCTTCTACAGAGGTGAATAAAAAGGAGGTAGTGGAAGCGGTAACAATTGTGGAGACTCCTCCTATGGTCCTTGTTGGCATTGTGGGTTATATTCAGACCCCACGTGGTCTCCGCAGTTTCAAAACAATCTTTGCTGAGCACATCAGTGATGAATGTAAGAGGCGCTTCTACAAGAACTGGTAAGTCAGTGCAGTTATTTTGCACTTAAAATACTTTATTTTAGCTTTCTTAAAACTAAGCTTTTGATGAACTGCTGTTAAATACTTTTTGAATGGACATTGGCAGCTCCTCTCAGCTTTGGCCATGTCAGCCTCTGCCTGATGAGCTCCAGGCTCCGCTTGCTGGCTGAAAAACTCCTTTGAAGCCAAGCAATGAGCCGAACTGTTGCCCTGGTTAACTCCTTCCTCTCATGTCCTCATATTGGGGCTTGATGAAGGACTGTGCCAATTATTCTGCTCTGCCGTTAAAGGTACAAATCTAAGAAGAAGGCTTTCACAAAGTACTGCAAAAAGTGGCAGGATGACGATGGCAAGAAGCAGCTGGAAAAAGACTTCCTGAGCATGAAGAAATATTGTCAGGTCATCAGGGTTATTGCTCACACACAGGTAAATTGATGATAAAGTAAATTCCATAGCATGTAGTGTATCACATGAGCATTGTTAAAATCATTGCCGCCATTATGCAATGTTAAATCCAGGCTTTTTTGACAATCATGAAGCAAATTCTCTTATTTTACAGTGGCAATATGAGTGATGATACAATCTCGACGGGCGGACAGACTAATGGCTTCTGGCTGTTACTGTTGAATGTCGAGTTCTGACCAACTGCCCAACTACCATGCTAGGGATTTGTAAATATCTGCAAACTTTAGTGATTATAGCATGAAACTTAGTCATGAAAAAGCATGCCTTAAACCCGTTGTAAGGAATACCTCTTTAAAGGACCACTATAGTGCCAGGAAAACACTCGTTTTCCTGGCACTATAGTGCCCTGAGGGGGCTCCCACCCTCAGGGACCCCCTCCCGCCCGGCTCTGGAAGGGGGAAAGGGGTTTAAACTTACCTTTTTCCAGCGCTGGGCGGGGAGCTTTCCTCCTCCGTTCCGCCCCGTCGGCTGAATGCGCACGCGCGGCAAGAGCTGCGCGCGCATTCAGCCGGTCACATAGGAAAGCATTCCTAATGCTTTCCTATGGACGCTGGCGTGCTCTCACTGTGAAAATCACAGTGAGAAGCACGCAAGCACCTCTAGTGGCTGTCAATGAGACAGCCACTAGAGGAAATAGGGGAAGGCTTAACCCATTCATAAACATAGAAGTTTCTCTGAAACTGCTATGTTTATTAAAAAATGGGTTAACCCTAGCTGGACCTGGCACCCAGACCACTTCATTAAGCTGAAGTGGTCCTTTAAGTTTACCTCCCTGACTAAAATGCTTATTGAAGTGTTTTGATGGCTATTAAACAATGGACTCTGGATATTTGTGTAAGCTTTTTGAACCCCACTCCTCGTTTTCTTAATCTTATTTAAACAAGTTTTGTCCAAATGTCTATGAAAGTACACATTCTTGAAAGTAAAATTAAGCCGAATGGAGCAAGTACTTTCCTTTTATAGCTTTGTCAGGTGTGCAAAGGAATATGTAGTTTGCTTTTGTGTAAATGTTGGAAATCACTGCCTAGACAAAGCCTATCTTCATAATGACAATATAAATTGTGCCTTGGATGGCGCTAAACCCTTTGTGCTCCTCTCTGCACATTGTTTCAATACTGTGTTCAAGTAAAGGGTGTATATCGCTTAATGGACAAGATTGCATCCAGTATTTGTCCCGTATGTGCAGCATATGTAAATAGCACTTAACAATTGTTTTCTTCATTGTTCCTTTTTTCAGATGCGTCTGCTTCCCTTGCGCCAGAAGAAATCTCACTTAATGGAAATCCAGATTAATGGAGGCACAATTTCAGAAAAGGTTGATTGGGCACGGGAGAAGCTTGAGCAGCAGGTGGCAATTTCTGGTGTCTTTGGCCAGGACGAAATGATTGATGTGATTGGTGTCACCAAGGGAAAGGGATACAAAGGTGTGTTCTTTTAAATTGGATTTATGTAAATGTAGGACAGTGTTTAGGGTTGAAACAGTTGGTTGGCATGGGCTGTGTTAATATGCATTTCTTGGAGACATAATTTTTTTTTTTGTTCTATGACGAGGCTACGGAATAAGCACTGGGCACAGTGCCTGACGTCAGTGATGAATATTCCATGCTGCCTTCCTTCTGAGAACAAACTACAAAATGTGTTGAGGATAACTTCCTGATGTAATTTGATAGGATCAGTTTTAACTAAACTTGCTTTTGTTTCTTAGGTGTAACTAGCCGTTGGCACACAAAGAAACTGCCCCGTAAGACTCACAGAGGTCTCCGCAAGGTGGCTTGTATTGGTGCTTGGCATCCTGCTCGTGTGGCATTCTCTGTAGCCCGTGCCGGTCAGAAGGGTTACCACCATCGTACAGAAATTAACAAAAAGGTAATAAGACGGGTTTTGTGTTTTGTTTTTTTTTTTTGTATCCAATTAAGGAACATGTGACCAAATCACACTTCTAACAATTAAGTGTTGTGTATTTTAGATTTACAAAATCGGTCAAGGCTACCACAAAAAGGATGGCAAGCTTGTAAAGAGCAATGCTTCAACTGATTATGATCTGTCAGACAAGAGCATCAACCCTCTGGTAAGTTTTGCTAGTGCTAATTTTATGGTGATCAGATATTTATTTATTTAAATTAAAATGGAATAGTTTAGTCTTCTTGGTAGCTAGAAAACAAATTCCACACAGCATGGAGTAAAACTAAAATGTGCTAGTAAGCATGTTAAACATCTGACTTGCAACATACCCTTTTTGGAAGATGTCTTTAAATACTCTATGAAGAAATGCATAATTATGTATTTTTGTATTCATTGTGGGTATATCTACTGAACAGTAAACTTTAGTTGGGCAGTGGAGTGTCCTTTTCTCAGTACCTAATCTGTTTTGGATCATTCAGATTCTAAGCTGCCAGACTTGACATTAGTGCAGTCTTGTAATGCATGAAATATCTGCACAGGATCAATCTCACAAATTTGCAGTGTAATTCAATGGACATATATTGCACATTTAATTGAGATCTCACCTGCCATAAATGTCTTGGAAAAAGTAATGTGACATCAGAAAGCTACTAGAAGTGCCACAATTTGCTCAAATTCATGCATAATACAGAGTGGCACAAATACTTTGATGTAATTTAAATTGCATTGAGATAGCGATATAGATTATCAAGTGATGTCACAAAGTCAGTTTTGTGGCCACTAGTCAAACCTAGAATCTGGCCATTCTGGACTCTCCAATGATGAGGAAATGGAATTGGCACTGGTTACAGTGCCTGATACGCATGAAGAACGATTCCATGCTGCCTTCCTTCTGAGGCCTTGTCTGTTATGGTCATGTACACTATTCAAAACCTATGAACTGATAGGCAAGTGTATCAGGTTTTTCTCCTACTTTCAGACCTTGTGTCCTGTTGGTTATGAAACCTTGGTGAAGGGGATTTTGCACAATATAATAGCGAATTAAGTTAGCAATGGGTTATTTTATCTTTTTCTGCATCTGTGGTGCCTTACAATATTTCTGAATAAATGTCTTTTAAAGTGATTCACTCATTGTCATGACTTTTTCCCCAAAATAACAAAGGTTTCCTGTTTTATCTAGGGTGGATTTGTCCACTATGGAGAAGTGAAGAATGACTTTATCATGCTGAAAGGTTGTGTCATTGGGACCAAGAAGAGGGTTCTCACTCTTCGCAAGGTTGGTGCTTGGTCAGGGCTTTACTAGAATTACATGTACTACTGCTTGCTAAAAGTGGAGAATCTCACAATTAAATTCCTGTACTTGCACCTCCATGGTTTTGTCATGTTGAGTGTGCTAGAATTTAATTGCACTCAAGCATTTAATGAAAGTTTAGAAACTCTTGTTGGTAAAAGAAATTGACACTAACTTTGGAATGTTCACTAAAACTGTCTTCCCTCTCTAGTCTCTCCTTGTCCAGACAAGCCGTCGTGCACTGGAGAGGATAGACCTCAAATTCATTGACACGACTTCAAAATTCGGGCACGGTCGCTTCCAGACACCCGAAGAAAAGAAGGCTTTCATGGTAGGTTTGCTTCTTAAAACTGAATACTTTGTGAATGTTTCTTTTCTGTACTCACAGCAGAAATACTTAAGTTTGGAACTGTTTTTGTACATGCTTGTTTCTGTCCATACTTAATGGATTTCCTTTTGCACTCAACAGGGACCACTCAAGAAAGACCGTCTGGCAAAGGAGGAGACTGCATAAATCTAAACTATTGTCCCTTTAACATCTGGGAACATCAGATTGTACTATTAATAAAAAGAACTTCAAAAATTCATGTGTTGTATTTATGTAGCTTAAGGCTGTTTTTATGTAGATGAAGACTTTTAAGTAATGCTGAAAGGGATACTGTAGGCATCAAAACCACTCTTGCTTAAAGGAACACTATAGCGGTTGGAATTACAAATATGTGCATTCCTAACGCTTTAGAGCAGTGGTCACTTTTTAGGGGCCATGTTACGCAACAAATAAATGGTTAACCATTTATCGTGACCTCTCAATTGACATCTGCTTCCGGGTGGAGCCAGAGGTGCGCGCATTTAAATCCGCCTGTAGGAAAGCATATATCAATGGTTTTCACAAAATTGGGAGTCATGCAAAAGGGTCTCATTCAGTTTCCAGGGGCTCCTGTTTGTCATATGCATCTTGTAGTTCAAGAGTAATCGGGGCGTGGTCAGTCCATGTGATGTTACCAATCGAGCATGCTGTTGGTTGATGAATGTACCTTTTATGTAGAACCCGTCTATCTGGGAATGTGTTGTGGACCTGGGAGAAAAATGTATAATCCCTTTCATCCGGGTGTAATACCCTCCATGCATCATATAGGTCATGTTCGCTAAGTAGGCGGACTAAGGGTTTGCATTCCTGTGTGAGGGTTGTATTTCTGGGTGTGTTTGGTCTTACCGTTGAGTCTCTTTTGGGATCTAGTATGTGGTTCAAGTCCCCACATATGATTGTGATACCCCTCTGAACTTGTTTGAGTCGTGTTATTATTTTGTGCAGGAAGTTTCTCTGGTTGGAATTTGGTGTGTAAATGTTTACAATCGTGTGTTCTAAATTGTTGATCTCACACGTCAATATTATGTACCTCCCCTGTGTATCTGTGTCTTTGTACAGGGGCTTGAAGGATACATCTTTGCTGATCAGTATAGATACCCCTTTAGTTTTAGATGTGGCTGTGCTATGGTATTGTACCGGGTACTGTGCTTGTGCTAGGTTGGACGCCTGTTTAAAGTGCGTTTCTTGTAAACATTCTATGTCCGGATGTGTTTTGCGTAGATCTCTAGTTAGGCAGTATCTCTTTACTGGGGTGTTCAGCCCCTTAACATTGTGGCTGTATATTTTCATATTTTAATGGATAGTTTTTACAGGTATTGGGTGTCTGTCAGTGTATGTGTCACCATGGTGGTATAAAGTCTCCCCAAGGGGTCCATGTGTTTCCCCCGTGGTTCCCACTGCGGGGCTCTGCAATGCTTGGGGTTGGGATGGTAGGGGGTAGGGTGTTAGCTATACAAACATCATACATAACATTCGAATAGAACAAAATAATGTATACAGTAACATTTTAGTATACATTTCCCACTGAAGGGTGTCGCACTACTGTGATAGTGCAAGGTGTGAGCGTGGTTACTTTGTCAACTTCTAAGGTGTGGTGCGGTTGGTTGCACCTAAGGTGCCCGAATCTTTCCATCAGTGTTCTTGTGTGGTTTGCTGATTGCGCTGTGTATTTACCGGCTATTGCTGTGGCGTGAGGTGTACTGGCTTGTTTTACCTTTTTTTTTTTTTTGGTCTGGGTGTGTTTGTAGTTTATGTGCTCGTCAAGCCTTCTTGGCTTATTTGTGTGTGGTCTTGGGTGTACATAGTTAGACATGTTATGCTGGGAATACTTGCGCCTTGCTGTCTGCCAGATGTCAGGCTCTGCCACGGTGGTATCGGCAGAAGGAAAAAGTCTTTGTGCTAGTTCATTTTTTGTTTCCATTCTGGAGGCATTCTTAGCGCTGTGGTCATGTCTTTCCTCTCTGGATTTGGCATAACTTTCCAGCTGTGCAGCAGTTTGTGGCCTTCTTCCGGTGTGTTCACTGTAGTCACCGTACCATTTCTTCTGATTAGGAGGCGGATAGGGAATCCCCATCTGTACTGTATATTGTTGTAGCGGAGGGTTTGTTTCCCTAAATTCCTTTCTTTTCTGCAATGCGGAAGCGGTACAAAAGAAAGGGGGGGGTGGCAGGGGGATAAGCATCAATCAAGTAGTTCCATCTTGTAGTTACACCAAGCCGTTACATAGTTACTCATGTTTCCAACAATGCCTTATTCTGTGATGAATAAGTCTGTGGTACCTTTTTAAAAAAAAAAATTTGACCTCATTGTTCCTAGACCAGTATCCTCTATGTTCACAGCCGCCCATGTTGTCTCTCAGTCCCTCTGTCACAGGAGGGATGTGGCAGGCAGTCGTTATGGTGGGTGCTCCTGTCTCCATGTCTCCCACCTCTCCCAGGCTGCCAGTGTCGTTTCATTTGGGGGGCATACTGTATGGAATTGTTTCTCAGATTTTTTTGGTTATCTATTTCTGCTAGTACTGATTCTAAAGGCGGAGTAGTGTGTTTTCCATGCCCTTGCAATTACGCGTTGGGCTGTGAGTAGGAGGTGGTATACGAGTTTCTTTATAAATTGAGGTGTCTTTGGGGGGCGGGGGGGAGCACAAGCAGGAGGGAGGTACGTGCTCGGTTCGTATTGTGGCTCGTTGAGTGTGATTCCTTTAAGTACCTTCTGGATGGCTTTCTAGAGGGGTTGTATCAGTGGGCAGTGCCACCAGACATGTACTGTTGTGCCTATATGCTTGGTGCATCTCCAGCATTTTGGTGGGCTGGATGGGTAGAGCTTATGTAACTTTGGTCGGTGAACATTTTGATGTTCCTATACTTCTGTGGTGGCTCTCCGCCCGTTCTTGTTGCTTGGAGTAGTGCTTTCTTAGCATGTAAGTAGTGTAGGTGTGTCAGTACATCCCTGGGGGTGTCTTGTGGTAGGAACGCTGGCTTTTGCACCCTATGATGTCTATCCAGCAGCAGAATTTCAGCTGGTATATCTGGTGCTAGTGCCTTAAAGTACCCCATTAGGTATTCGTGCA